GTGTAACTGCTCTATTTTGTACAGTCCAGGAAGAGCACATCTCTCACTAGAGCTTAGGACTCCATCTCAAATTACAAAATGTCCCTGACTATTCAGCCTTTTGAAAAAGCTGTAAATGGAGATATAACTTACCTAGCAACAAAGAGTAGATCTTCACAATGTGGTCTATGAACACAGTGAGTTTATTCAGTTATGGTCATGCCATAGCCTTTATTTTTCTGTCACTAGTCTTTAGACATAGACTACTGAAAAGTATTTTCTATTAAGAAATAATAGATATTTGATATTAAGAAACCCTCTTGATAACAACTGAGCAGAAGATGAAATCTCTAAACTTCTAAAACTAATCTATTTGATGAAGTTCTGGCTGAATCAGTTAAAAAACAGAACTAAGAAAATACTTAGAGGAAAACATGTAAAATTTTGAAAATCTCAGTCTTTTCAGTCTTTTGGTGAATACTGAAATTCCATTTGTATCCTTCAGCGCATAAAGCTATATTTAGTGAGATTTTTTGCAAACTTGTTTAGTGGTTTTTTTTCTTAGTGCTTTCATTCCCCCTTTCAGCTTACAATCTCCACCATATATTGTGTGATAAAATAAATACAATGGAAAAGAAGGATGTCGACAGAAAGGAAGGAGAGTGTTCCCTCTGCTTCCATCTTGATGTTAAAAAAGCTTATTTTTTTTCTGGACAGCTTTTAAAAATATTTTAAGCATTTGCTTCATTTATAGTAAAAGCAACAAAAATAATTTTGAGTTGGTTTTGTTCCAGATTAAGCTTTATTAAAACTCTACTGTGTTAGAAGACTTCCTGTCTATTTAAGGTGAAAAGCTTTGTCCATAACAAAAGAAACTTATTATCATTTCAAAGGTTGGTCAGCACTTTTGCCTATATACCTACCAGGCAATAATGACCAAGCTGACCCTTTTTAGATAGCTGGATTCTTTTATCAGTGCATTCTACTAGTTCAAGATCATGCTTAATGCCAACTTTCATATAATGCTTTCATGAAAGTTCCTTTGAGAGGGAAAGCAGTGGCCAGATTCTGATCTCTCCTCTTCAGATCTTCTGCTATTGGATTTTCATTTCCTAAATCAACCTAATAGAAAAGAAAATTATGCCTGTTCTCAGTATATATATGAAATATAATAATGTTTCTAAAGAAAACTTCATATCTACTAGACAGTTTTCATTAATCTATTTAATAAAACATGAAAATGACCTTTTTCTCTCTTGGAACCAACTGAATTGTGAGCTTAGTGTCCTTTGGCTAAGTTCCAAAATGAAAAGTCACCCTGCAGAGTTCAAGTCTTTGCGGAATGCAAACCAAGTCCACAGTACTTGAAATCCAACAGCCATTTATTATCAGGTATTGAGTCTTAAATGTAGTGCTAAATAGAGAGAGAATGCCTATATTCTGCTTATATTTTGGACCTGGTTTTGAACCCTTAAGACATGAGAAACTTGTGTTAATGCAAGTTTCTTGAGAAGCATAAATAGTGAAATGAGCTTTTCCTGGGCTTTCTGGATATCTTGAGGTAGTACACTGGAGAATAAAGGGATATCCTAAGCCCAATTGTACCACAGGCTCTGAGCTTGGAAGCTGCAGGGCAGCAAGACCCTCTCCAGCTAGGAGGGAACTGCGTGCCCCATCCTCTTCTCCCCCAGTGGCCTGGATTCCCTTGAGCACAGCCAGGGAATCTCATTAGTTCTTTCATCTTCTTCCATCATGGGCCAGAAGAATCTGTCTTCTCTCACCCAAACCTTAACCACTGTGGAAAGAAGAAGAAAACAGGGAGCTGGGATAAACTTCTCTTCGGTACACAGTCCTGAAGACATCAAGGCTTTTGCCAAGGCTGTTTGCCTTTACTTTTTAGACGGTCCTTGAGCAGGAATAATGTTTACATAGTTAGAGCACATTATTGCCAACATTATTTCTTGTGTGCTTTTGCTTACAGAAAATTATCATCTTTTCTTCCTAAGAGAAAATATCATCATTTTAGGCTGTTATTTTCATGAAACAGCATTGTGTAGGGTGTTGCCAGAGATTCACTATTTAAGAGAAAAGATAAGCATGTCCTTCATTGCTACTGAAAAGATGCATTGCTACCTCTCCACTTAGCCATTTTAGTGGTGCTATTTTGGATAAACAATCTTATGACAGTACAGTTTTGTCTTGAACGACACAGCTGTAGTCTAGGAAACTAAACATATCTTTGCTAGTGTTTTTATTTGTCAGATGAGTATTTGCAATATTCATGCGTATCTATTTTTTTAACCCACCACAAAATGAAAAATATTATACTAATAAGACTTGAGCAGTTGCTTATTTTTGTATGTATTAGAAAGAAATTTAAGTACATGCACATGCTTAATAATAATTCAATTGAACATTTTATCATTGTCAAAGGCATCTTTAGAGGAATCCATCAAATCTTCTGATTTCCATACAAGTCAATTTACTGTCTTCAAAATGTAACGTTAATGGCACTCAGTGTACACACTGTAATCCTTTAAAATAATGTACATGGCAAACGGATATGTTCTCGTGCATTAATAATTTAAAAGTTAATTTTAGGTACTTAATATGATTAACTGATGGATCAGCAGTCTTATATATGAGAAACAGTGAGCACACTCGAAGGAAGAGCATACTGGAAGGCAGCCAGGTGGCTGCCTGCGTGATGCTTCAAAAATACCTGAGTTTTATCCCTCCAGTTTCCCTTCAGTGTCAGATGCAGAGCATCACGGTCATAAAGGTGGTCTGACTTCAAGATGGAGTGTGCAAATTGCCTCAGAGGTTGAGGTAGCAGGACTTTTGGGGAAGAAGGAGATGTTTTAGAAGGTGGGAATCCCTGCAATGCAATCCTGCTGGTGGCTGGCTGGCTCTGCAGCACCAGACCAGTTATATAACTTCTCTCCTTTCACTTCTCGCTTTTTGAGGACACGCTGTAACGCAGGGCTGTAAATTGATATTCTAGGGTGGAAATACTACAGATGACAAAGTATAACTGTTGCATTGCGCCGCTAAGGAATGTGCCAGGGGCAAATAGCATTAAACAGCGTGTGGAAGAGGCATGTGCTGAAGTCCTTGGCCATGCCCACAGCAGCGGGTTCTGCGAAAGCAGCAATAACTGGACACCTATTGCACCAACCCTGGTCAAACCATACAGGTACATGCATGGCTGCAAAAAAAGGATGGAGATTTTTTCTTCGCTGGGAGGCACAGGGAGCAGACAGGTGACAACAGGTACAAGTTGCACGAGGAGAGGTTTCACCTTAATTTTGATTCACTGAAAAAAAATTAAAATATTTTTACAGTTAGAACAATCACCCACAGGAAAATCATCCCCAGGGGTGGAGTCCTCACAGCTGGAGGCTTTCAAGATGTAATTGGGCAGGGTGACAATCAATTATGACATCATTTTTGTCATAAAAAGTTGCACCATATGATCTTTGGAGTTCCCTTCCGATCTGGGCTGGATCTACGTGTGCAGAAAATTTCTTATGTAAGCATGTGGGACTGTGATGCCAGCCTACTGTGAGTAGGTGCCTTCTTGCCTCTGGAGTAATCTCAGGTAGAATCTGATACACCTGCATTCACCTGGACAGGAGACAGCTTCTCCTTTGGTGAAGCACCACCACTCCGAGGCTGGACGCACAAAACCGAAGATCAGGGTGAATAGTGGCTCACAGGAAGGCAGGACAAACCAGCCCGAAGGTGGGAAGAGAGGGCTGAACGGGGCTGGGAAGTGACAGCCCACAGAACAAGGTCCTGATGGACTGGGTCAGGACAGGACAGGTCGGGCAGCAGTGGTGCTGACAGACTGAAGAGCAGTGCTCAGCACTGCATCAGGCGGAGATGGCCGAGGGGAGCGTGGTGCCCAGGAGAGGCTGGGACTGGTGGCATGAGCGGCGTGAGCAGCGAGCAGGCAGCAGAGTGGCACGTGTGTCCAAGAGGCTGAGGTGACGCGCTGAAGGAAACTGGAGAGATTATTTGAGGACTTGAACAGGGAGAATAAGTGGTGAGAACTGAGCGAGAACAGAGCGAGACCAGAGCATGGCTGGAAACACGGGGACCGGAGGGCGGGCTGATAAGAAAAGCATTCCTTTAAATACAGTAAAGAAGAGCCAGGGAGGAAGAAAGAGCAAGAGCAAAGAAGATATCATGTTACATTTCAAAATATATTCAGCTCGGGCGCTCAGCCACAATACTTCCATTAGTCTACATGCATCTGTCTAGGAAGAAAAGCCCAGCGATTTCTCCCACTTCTCCTTGGGCTGAATTGCCTTTTATAGGGCTGACCACTTTCTTATGAGAGGTGTTTTTGCATCTAGTGAAGCAAATATTCCTCTCCTCACAGAGTGTGACGGCTCTCGTTGGAAGTCAATACATTTTAAACCAGTAGCTCTTAGGGAGGCGTGCAATTTGCTTCCCTTAACAGGACTTTTCCACAGTCCGAGTTATTTGCAAGCTACTTGGAGTTGCCGTGGTGAAACAGCGAAGGTCCCAGTGCACAGAAGTTGGCAGCAGCAGTCTGTAGGAGTGCTAGTGGCAGCCTGAGGATGCCGGGAGGGCAGGGCGCTATGCAGCACGGAGCAGCTCTGAAGAGCCCACCGTACAGTCGGCACATGCCGGGAGCCTGCTCCGCCTGTCTGGAGCGCAGGAAGGGGAGCTGGGGCACTTGCCCTGCGCAGTTTTGCGGGGAAAAATGCGAGAACAGGACAGGACCGATGAGGTTAAAGAAAAAGTCCAAGCACAAACGCCTCGCGTGTGGAGATGCTCTGTTGGTTTTCTTTTAAAGACAAAACAGCCCTTCCCAAGAAAAGCACGCGTCGGTGCTACCTGCGGGTGAGCTTTTGTTAGGGGGCAGGAGCCCCGCCACAGCCCCACGACCTTCCGCCTCCAGCGCCGCTCGCCCCGGGACGGGGGAGGGCGGGCAGGGGCGCCACACCGCCCGCGGCCGCCGGGGCTCCCGGCCGCCCCGGGAGCGGGGCGGGGCCCGCCGGGAGTCAGCTGGGCGCGAGGGGAGAACGCGGCGGCGGCGGGCGCCGTTAGCACCGGAGCCGGCAGCGCGGACGGGCAGGCAGAAGTTTTCTCCGCAGATCCCTCCCGCAGCCCGGGGACGCCTTGCGGAGGCGCGAACGTCCCTGTTCGCGTTGGGTGTGTTTTGCTTATTTTTTCCTCCCCTCCCCTTTTATTTTATTTTTTTTCTTAATTGCTTTTTTTTTTCAATTGTATGATTTTTAATTTTTTTTTCAGTTTTAATTTTTTCTTTTGTTATTGCTGGTTTTGAGGCGCGTGGCTCCGAGAGCTCGCTCTCCCCCGCCCGCGCCCCACTCCACCGCGCCGCCCGGAGGATCCCCCTCCCCGCCCGCGCCCCCGTCCCCGTCCGCGCCGCGCACGACCCTTCCCCCGACCCCTGAGCCCGCCCCAAACTTGGCGGGTGCGCGGCGCCCGGCGGGGACGGTGCCGGCCGCCTGCCCGCCCAGCAGGTAAGGGGCCGGGGGACGGCGCGGGGCGCGCAGGGGGGCGGCTGCTGCTGCTGCCCCTGGGGAGCCGCAGGGGGTGAGGCCGGGCCGGGGTGGGTGAGGGCTCGCCGGCTTCTCGGTGGCGGAGGCTGGTGGGAGGAGGAGGAGGAGAGCAAACTTCCTTTTCCTGGGGCCGCCGGCGAGCCCCCCCCACCCAATGCCCGCGGGGAGCGCCCCCCGCCCGGCGCGGAGCCCCCGGGGTCGGACGGGGTTCGCCGGCGGCCGCGGGGCTCGGGGGATCGGCCCTTTTTCCCGTCTCGGGGCTTCCTTGCCGCGTTTTGTTTGCTCGCCTGCTGCGCGCCTCGCCCGGCGGTGCCGGGAGCCGGGCTTTCCCGTCGCCCCGCGCTGGCGGAGAGCGAAGACCTGCCCCGCCAACTGCTGGCGGTGCTGCTGCTGCCGCCGAAACTCGCCGGGGTTCCCCCCGCTCCGTTTAGGGCTGGCGGATGGGCAGTTCGCAGAAATGCCACCCCGGGGTGCTGCCACCTTCCTGCTCACCCTTGGCATGGGATGTGCCCGGCCCCGTGTGCCCGCCGGAGAGCGGCCCTGCCGAGCGCCCGGCCGTGCCCGCAGCCCCTCGGCAGCCAGGGAGACCCTCCCTGGGGGGCGGTGCGGAGCTTCTCCTGCCCCAGCTCCCCGCCGGGAGAGGCGGGCACGCATGGCTCGCATTGTATAACCGTGGTACTGCAAGCCGGGGCTGAAACTGTGGCATCTTTATAAGAACAGTTTGCAGTTAATTGGTTTGGCAGATGAACTCCTGCACAATCCTCTTGCCCGCTTCTGTTGCTCAAGTGCCAGCGCCCCCTCCCACCCCTTTCCCCCTTTTCCCCGCTTTCCTTTGAAGCGTCGCATAACTCTGTATTGCCAGCAGGATGGAAAGTGCTGATTCAGCAGCCAGGAGCCCCACTCCATCTGAAGTGGTGGTCTGCCTGAAATGCTCCCATTTGTTGAAATGGGAACATGTTTTGCTGGTATGTCAAAGCAGCATTGATCAGGTTTTCTAAAACAGACCCAAAGAATGTGGTTTGCTTTTCTCTTCTCCAAGGCAAAATGAATTTGGGGTTGGGGCAAAGCAGGAGGGGGCAGGATAGAAAGGATGTGGGCATCTGCCACTTTCAGTTACACTTCTAAGGGGCAGCTGAAATTGTTTAGCCTCTTGAATGTGCTTATGTGTTTTAACGGAGATGTTGTGGGATGTGTAGCAAGGATGCTTTAACACTCCAGCTCCATCTATTCCTGCATTCTGAGGCTGGTAGTTGTACTTACAGCTCTAGAAAAGGTACAGATAAGGGCAACAAGGCTAATCCTGGGATTAAAAGGAGTGAGTTATGAGGACAGGTTAAAAAAGAAGCACCACAAACACATGGAGATTAGAAAACCTTCTTGGAAAAGGGGAAATATTCTTGAAACTTTAGATGAGAGCTCTGGCTGTGCTTCAGGATGCTTTTGGGGCTGAGGTGCGGGAGGTAAGCAGGATGCTCTTCCCATGCTGTTAGTCTTCCTTCAGGGCTTAACCTCTCAGAGCAGCATAAGAAGGAGAGCTGTTCCAGAGCTGTATTCCTCTGGCTACATTTGTACAGCTATACGTTAATATCAGAGCTGCTTGAGTTTCCTTTCTCTAACATCAGACTGTTGTTAAAATTCAGCACAGTGTAGAGCAAACAGCAGAGCCTGGAGAGTACTGTTTGGTAGCCTTCCTGCAAGCAGTAAACCAACAGGGCAACAGACCCTGACGCTTGCCTCTGGTGCTCATTATACCATGTTCTGGTCTGATTTATTTTCTTCACTTGGACGTTATTTGTTCTCAAAGTAGGTCTTGTTTGCCCTGGCTACATATTAAAGATCTTGTGGTACTTCCATGGTTTTCCTTGGTTTTGTTAATCAAACTATCCCTTCTCTTAGCACTGTGTGAGTTGGCTTTTATCCTCGCATACAGCCACACCTGGATTGCAGTAGAGTGTTCCTGTGTTTTTCAGTGAGTAGTCCAAAAGCTCTGCCTAAATGCAAAATGGATTTCTGCACCTCAGTTCTGCTGAAGTGTATAGTGTGCACTCTGTGAATAAAACAAGTGTTTGCAGCCCTCTGTCTTGTGAGTGCCTAAATTACTCTAGCAAGAATCATTACGAAGGTTTTTTAGAAATCTTTGGTCATGTTCCCATCTGTGCTTGGGATGTAAATGGACAAAAAGTATCTGGATCTTTCTGGCAAAGCTTATCCTTCCAAGGCAGGGAGTTCCCAGCTGGCAGAGGAGAGGCATAGCTGGGTCATGCACTGCTTCTGCCAGCAGCGCCAGAGTGTTGCTCTGGGAATTTGTTTTCTGACAGCCCCAAATGGCAGATGTCCCTCTAGATTATGAGGCACCGTCAGCTTCCCTGGATGCAGGTAGCAGCAGCAGCAGGCAAACTGAGGGGCTCCTGGGTGGTGTCACTCTGGGTGGGACCCTACTGTTGCTCCCTGGTGCTGTGCCTCTCTGCACGTGGCTGTGGAGGTGATGGTGCTAAATGAGGCCAGATTTCTAGGTATAACTTCTGCCTAGACCAGCTCAGCTCTGTCTCAGGAAGTGTATGTATATATTTGTGTGTGAAATGCACTCAGTTGCTTCTTCAGAGCACTGAAATGTGGGGTGGGCAAATAGGTGGAGGGGTGCCTTTTGATGTCCGGTGCTATGTGTTTTTAGGATGCATTTAAGTATTTGCTCAATTAAAAATTTCACTGTTTGCAGCAAACCCTGTGGTGAAACCCCTTACTATTACTTAAAAATTAATCTTTTAATTCTAGATCTCTGAGTGGACTTTATTAATGGGGTCAGGGGAAAAACTTCACTTTGTGCTAACATGTCTGTCTTAACTAAGACTAAGGAAAGCCTGCTTTTCTTTGGATTTATCTCAGCTATGAGAGTATTGATGGCAGTTCCCAGTGCAGTGTTTCTTAAGTGTGCCCACCTGGCCCAGTGTTTTCATAAACAAGGAAGATAACTCCTGAGACCTCTGCCTCTGTCAGGCTTGCATGCAGCTTGCCAACTGGCTTGGCTACAGTGTGATTGCATAAGCCTCCTTCTGTAGGAAAGCAGGCTAAGAAGTTAGGATTGTTTTTCTTGGAAACTGGACCTGCTCCTGGCTGTGTCCAAAATATACCAGTTGCAACTCTTCACCCAGGGAAATCTAGGAATGGAGATCCTTTACCAAAAAGTTAAAACCCCACAATCTTTTTTAGGAATTACAAGGGATGAGGTTGCCAAGGAATCCCTTTATTAGCATTGAGCTTTATTTACAGGTTTGCTATCTTTACACTGCCTGCTGGTCAGGAGAGCATGTTGCAATCTAAACTTGGATATGGCAAAATAGTCTTGATTCCCATTACTTTTTCTCCCAAACCAGTGGTTGTTTTGAAACATAATATTATGAAGTAAACAGAAGCCACCTCACTGACTTCTCTTTCTTTATACATGTTGAACTGTGCACTTCTGAACTAGTCCTGTGCCAGGTCTTTGCTATTCTCATGCCATCTGTTGAATTGGATAGCAGTTCTCCCTTTAGCTCAATATGGCTCCTCTGTCGCATTGGGAATGTGGAGAGCACTGTCCTAGAAAGCCAGAGTCCACTATGAGAGCATCATTAAAGAAAACTGTTGATCAGTATGAGGTGTCCTCTCTACAAACAGTCTCTTAATGTCTTCAGTGATGGAACAACTAGAATAGCCCGACTTTATAAGATTTTGTTGGATATATTTAACATTCTGTTTTCTTATATTTTTTCCCCTGGATACCACCTTGTCAGCAGATATGTGTGTAGAAAGACAGTCTCTACTTTTTTTGTACAGGTCCTTCATCTGAATATAGTGGTTATGTTTCTAACAGCTTTTGGACTTCAAATGTCCATAGGAGCACTGAATATCAGTGCCAAGAGTCTTGAAACTCTTTAATAAGGAGATGTTCAATTCACACTAATGTGCATCCATTGACTGAAAAATTCCTTCCCTCTTTGCCTTCCTATGATCTTTCATAAGTCATAGATGGATCAGCTCATACAGAGCACATGGACGTAGCTCTCAGGAGGCATTGCAAGTTCATCCTCTGCTTTAGAGTAGTGTCCTTGTGAACAATTCTGTCTTTCCTGGTCTCTGTAAGAGAAAAGACCAGGGAATTCTGTTTAATGGTGAGGAGTCATTCACAAAAATATGGGATTATGAGCACTTGGTGAGTCACTTTCCCTTAGAAGGTGGCAGCAGCTTTATGGCTGCTGCTTGGGTTTTTACAGGCAAGCAACCTGTAGTGGCACTGACCAGAGACTCAGGTGTGGATTGAACAAAACTAAAGTCAGGATGAATAATGATGGTTTCTTCAAAGCCCAGCACTAATGCTCATTTACAAGTCAAGAGAGCTTTTAATGAAACCTGCTAATTGCATCCCAATTAGTTAACCCATGGGGAATGCAGATTACCACTCCTGAACGGTTACAGTAAAAGCTGTCATGAAGATCAGTTGTTTTAAAGTGGATGATCTTTTCAGCAGAGTGGAACACCTTCTCCCATATCATGGGTAATACAGCATGTAACTACTGCTGTAAATTAGTGGGAGGGACCTTCTTTCTGAATCTTTTCAGAAACCTTTGGTAAGTCATTATATTCCTGGATATCAAATGATAACTTTGGAGTGAGTAAAATGGTAGAGGAAAATGTGTAGTTTGCTGACATATGATGTGAAGTAAAATTACAGGTTATATCAAGTTTGTAGATTATTCCAAATCTAGTTTGGCAATCTAGGCACATGGCATGAAAGTGTACCTCACTGGTACTGAGAGAGGTGAAATGCATGTCTTTTGGAACTCTGCCGCTTTCAAGACTGCTGTCTTTGAGATTATGCTGTTTCAGGTATGATGGGATAAGGCATACTTGCTAGAATGGTTTGACCTCTTCTTGGAGAAAGGATCAGCAGTGAGAAATTCCTCCTTTACCACATGATGATGGAA